TATTGTACAGTAGTCGTGTGTATGCATACAGCAGTTCAGCGTCAGTTCGGACAAGTACTCGTCTTTGGGTTCTTTCTGTTTTTTCGTCTCGCTATATATAGACTATGTGTGCATATCATTGATTATGGTATCACAGGCAACAATTATACAGTTTTTATTCCAGTCTACTGTATAATACATATTTCTCCCATCATTGGACTCTGTCGACTGCCCCTCTGGCCCCTATCCTCTACTTCTACTATTTATTAGCTAGACGACCCAACCGGGGTCACATAGGAGGGGGGGGGTGGATCCCCTCCTGCGGTTCCTGCCTGAGATATTTTTATCGCGAAAAGGGTACAGCATTCCCTTCCCTCGCGACTTATGAAGTCGATATAGTTTACTAACAACGGGCATTGCAGCGCGACGCTTCCAACTGAGACCAGGATCTATTAACGAGAAAAAACTCACTTGTGTTGGGACTCGAACCCATGACTTGGCCTTGGCAGCCTGCGAGGGTACCCACTAGACCAACGGGGCGACCGGCTTTTTTTTTTTTTTCTTCCCTTCAAATCAGCGCTCACAGCACTAGTAGTGCCGTTTTCTCCAACCCGTGGTCACACAGAAGAGCCCCTCTCTACCCCCCCCTCCTGTGGTACTTTGCCTGCGAGAAGAGTTCAGCACTCTCTTCCCTCTGTGTATACACGAACTAGCGCTATCTACTAGACCAGGAGCGGAAGCGAGAGAAAAACTCCCTTTGCAAGAAAAGCTCGCTAACGCCGGGATTCGAACCCGTGACCTGACCTCCATCTAGGTTTCGAGGATACCACCTAGACCACCGGGGCGACCGGCTTCCTGGGCATTATGTAGCACTGTAGTTCTATCCTACAGCCTGTACAGTGTTGTGACTACTGTACCTGGCACGCAATCGCATTTATACGTTGAATACAAACTCTTGGAATTCTATTTCAGAGACAACAAGCCGGTATGGTGTTCGTAGGGTTCATGATTTTTTGCGAGAACTACATTCAGCAGTACTGTAGATTGCTGTCGGGCATTTTGAAAGTCCTTGCCCGGGGTCCGAATCTCAAGGAAGGCAGTAAAAATAGGGTACTTGTAGGAGTGCATGGGCAAGATACAGAGAGGTGATAGAGGAGGGCCGGGGCAAGGCGACGAGGAGCGTAACGTGCGATGGACGCGAGGGACTTGAAAAGGATACGTGGTGAACATTTGGGGGTATCCATCTCTGTCTGCCTGTCCTAAAACTCCAGCAATTACGACATCAATTAATCTAAACCCAATGCAGGTTTTTGCCCTACAACAATGTCCTACAGACCACAAGCAAATCAACTGAAAAAGTAATGACATCGAAGAATATTCAATACGTTTTTTGGTGTATTGCATCTTGTGCGACTTGCTGTCATCACTGTGATGTTTGGGATGCAAGGTTTGGTGATGTCCCCTTGAATCGTGTGACGACAGCAAGGTGCCGAAAAAACGAGGAAGGACGGGGTTACACTAGAGGTCCCTGATTAGTGCCGGTTGAATATTGCCGGTAGCCGGTATACATGTAGTGTCCGTAATGTCTCGGCGCACAGCGCCCTGATCAGTGCCAGACCGCACTATTGAGGGATGTTCATTATAGTAGTCGGTTAGGGCACTTCTGTACCCCGTGATAGTGCCGATTCACGCACCCACACACCTCATGGAGTCCCAAAACATGGCCTTGAGAAGTATTTTCTGCTCCGACTGAGATTGACGTGTGCATTTTCATTGTTCAGCCGGTTAGAATGCAAATATTCACGGCCACACATTTTGAGAGAGTGATGGTATATACAAAAAAGAGGACGGTGAAAGCTCTCCGAAAGGAACGCGCTTTCAAAGTGGCAGCCTTGGTAAACACGTGCCGCATTCTCTGTTGCTACCGTTTCTGTCGCTATTGCGGGGAGTAGCTTACCCCCTCCTCACGGCCCCCCGGATCATGGCCTTCAGAAGAATTTTGTTTTGTCAACCGTAACTCTGACTGTAAAGTATTTTCGTTGGTCAGCCGTTTAGTGCGGTCAATGTTATGAAAACACACATAACAATAATCAACGCGCACATACGCGGTCGATGCTAATAACAATACACACACCATGTGTTTCGAGATTATGGGCTTTGGTAGCATTAATAATTCCCTCTTTCCACTCTGAGACTGACCACCACGTCATTGCAGCGGTCAGCCGGTTAGGGCGATCGGTGACAATAAAAACACACACCACACACGCAAACATTGGTCAGCCGGTTAGCGCGGTCGATGCTAAAAATAACACACACGAACACACACATTTCCCCCCTTCTCTCACTACATCGAAGGAGCGCGAGGAGAAGTGAGTTTTGGCTTGCTTTCGTTTTGTACGAGTGCATGCATTTGAGCTTGACAAACAAGCATCGTTTCCGCCAAAGATGCATCGGGTGCCTGCGCGAGCATCTTCCTTTCGCTGTCGAGTAATTGAGCTTGCCCGGCATGGTTTGATCCTTGTAAGGCCAATGCAACAGCTGTGAGGTGTACTTCGCATATCCTTTGCCATAGCAATGTGAAGGGTTTATGCGACATTTCAGGCTATGACGTACGTGTTTGTCCCGCCCAGTTAACTTTCTTCAACAGCAAACACTGTGTGTTCGACAGGACAGGAATCATTCCTATCGTGGCACAGTCTGCCCGCGCCGCCCATGCCATGATCTCACCATTAACGTTAATGTGGTACTCGTCCGCCCCTTCAAGCGTACGCGCTGCACTCTGAAATCACACAGTTCTCCTCAATACTTATGCCAGACCAGCAGTATTGAGGAATTTTCAGACCCTGAATAGTGCCGCCTTGGCACTGTTCAGGCACTCTGAACAATAGTGCCGGTGCCCGGTGTATGTAGTGCCGGTGAAATTTCTGCGCACACTCCGGCACTAAACAGAGACCTCTACTGTATATATATATTCACTGCAGCAATTGAGCAGGTTTTCGTCGTGGGACAATGCGTGCATTGTTGACGGAGTGGAATCGATTCTCTCTTTGCGCTGTCTTGCGTGTTGTTTGTGTCCTCTGTTCGCAACGACACAACAACGTGCACCCTGATTTGGAGACTCCGCATTAAGGCCTACAGTACGTGCGTGTTTCTAGGCTATGGGCGTCAGACTTCATGATGCACTACTCTACCCTTCTTTGAGTTGTGCAGTACTGCTGTAAGACTCCAATGCATTCCATCTGAACGCCTACAGTAGTCAGTGTTGGCTGCAGCCCAAATGACGATATTTTTATTTGTGTACACGATGACTAGTATGTAGCACGCACAGAGAAGCTGTGTTTCGCGTGTAGAAATTCAGCCGTGGCCTGCAGTGACACATGCGTAGAGGGCTATGCCTTCTGCACAGCAGGGAGAGGCTTTGTGTATCGCGCAGTCGGTGGCTGCACCCCAGACCTGCATTTGGTATAGTGGGTGGATTTTCTAGAAACAATACTTGTGGCAGACAAAGTAATCCAGCAGATTATTCCCTGTACTTTTTTCTAATGAATGACGGACGACGCCGTTCATTCCTACCTATGACTAATCACAGATGCTGTAGATACATATGCACATCGTATCGAAATCTAAGCTCATGAACCGAAAACACTCTTCGGATTTATCACGTCGATTGTACATGTAACAGTATCATGCCGCTGCAGGTCTCTCAGGGCACACCAGCGTAGCAGTTTCGGAATAGCGTTTGCGAAAGGGAGTAAATGCCCAATCCAGATAATAACCGAACGCTAAGCGCCTCTAAAACCTGGTTATAAGTATAAATAAGTACAGGTAAGGAGAGGAAATTAGCGATATTTTCAAAAGTGAGGAAAGACAGCGGTCACTCACCCACTAAAAAGGATAATATTGTCTTCATATTTAGAACCGTGCCGACATCCGCAGTATGTTCTAGCGTCCGCACTGGTGGCCCAACCGACGCGGACGCAATCCGTGGCAATAAGATATTATTACCCAGATAGGTGCAGTTGAATGTATAACAAATGATTGAAACCGACTACACGACAAAGGGGCGGGGTTTAGCGCAATTATCGTACTTCAGGGGTACGAAGTACGTGACAAATCAAACCGGCAGCTGTCTCAAGCAATGCAAGGGCAACATCTTGGTGACTTGTAGGGAACACGGAACACGGAATGTGAATTATGATACGTGGCCTGCAACGAAAGTTGAATATGTACGTAACGACTACCATACGCTGAACTGCATCTCCATGCAGCCGCCAACGGTTTCTTGTACTTGACTTCAACACGCCCACAGCCATGCGTCCACCGGGAACGAGATGGAAACTGGGAGAAAAAACTTTCCCCGAATCAAATAAACCCCATTGACGTCATTCTCCAGCTAGCCGGCTAGCTGCTGTGAAACCTATTGCAAAAATATTTGTACGAGACATCCAAAGCGCCCTGCCTGTAGGCCTACACCAGATAGGTAGTGAGCCGACGAAGTTTATCTCCGCACAACTTCTCAGAACTCTCCAAGATTGCGATCAATTTCGACGTCGACGCTTCAACACCCGAGCATCCTACATTTCCCACCAACTTCACTCTTCTACATTCTAACCCCCACAGAACACTATGCGGTCCGATACACGAGATGGCCGCCAAACTGCCTTGTTGAGCCTGCGGCCCGCAAGGCTTGCGGTCACTGTGTGTTGCTAGCGGAAAGGTAGTAGAAACACGGATAGATAACAACGATATCACTCTACATCAAGATAGCCATAACTTATGAATCCAGTTGCTTTGTTTCTGGCGTTGCGTTTCTTTAATAATCACGAAAAAACGGCAGCGTTGAACGAAAACAGGGAACCTTGTCTGGGAGAACTTTTACACCTCTTGTCACGCAGGTTCTCGTGCACCGAGATCATCCTACAAATTAATGAAGTCGCGCGCAACACGAACTTCAACGTGTTCTATTGTTTTTCGCCAACCGGGTACGGTTCTCTCGGCGATCGACCACGCAGGTTCTGTCGATGTGGGAAGACACCTTCACCGGCTTGTTCAAGTTTCGCGCACGGTACCTGGTGTACACATCGGACCTTCCCGACGACGCCGTTGCTGGGCTCGTTGAGGCTCGCCGTGCGTCTGAAGGAAAGGGAACAAATGGCAGTATGAGCGACGCGAAGGCGGCTGCCGCCTCCAACCGAAGTCCTCCGTTGTCCAAGCGAGGCCAGAAAGCAGACTGCGACGAAGTGCTCCTCACAAACAAAAGGGAGGATCTTGACGTTGTACTGATCGTTAAGCCAATCACCCTCCGCGTGGGCGCACAAGACGATTCGTCAGCTAGGTGGAAATATGACGTTGGGCCACGGCTCATCCATTCATTCGATGCTAGTTCGGGTGAATTCACTCCTGTAGAGCGTAAGGAGGCCATTGCCAAGCGCGCGAGAACTCGGCTCCTGGAAACGGTTGCGCGCGGGTCACGTCGCGCCGAGGAAGTCGCTGCCGCCGACAGCGGCCAGCGTGCGATGCAGAGCAGCGGTTGGCTGTTGCCGAAGCGAAGAGCGAAAGGGCCTGCTGCTGTCAAGGGTAGTGCCGACAGACGTGGCAGCATCGCAGCTGCCGCATCTGTGGGCGACACCGTATCAGTCAGAGAACCCAGCGAGGGAGAGTCCTCAGAAGGGGAGGAACCTAAGTCCGATGACCCGGAGTGGGAAAACGACGACCAAGGCAGCGACTACGCGAGCGACACCAGTAACTCCACCGACACGCGGAACCACAACGCGCTGGAATTGCCGGTGAGGAAGTCGAGCCGACGCAAGAAATCGCTCAGCCGAGAGTTTGACCAGGGTGTCGATCCGTCCTGTGACGACAAGATTCAGACGAGTCCTTCTTCACCTCCACTTGCAGTACCTGCTGTAACCCCACCCATGCGCGAGACCTCACTGGTGCCTCATAGGGATGTGGAGCAACAAGCGCCTCTACCAAAACGAGCGCGGCGTCTAGCCATGCCCCCCGTTGAAGGAACGCCAGCACTCAGTTCAACGCGTTCTGCAGAGCACCTCGCTTCCTCCTCATCGGCTACCCCTCCGATGGCGGGCGGCTCGGTTCAAGCACGAGCTGGAAGTATGGGAGCAACACCTTCCTCGCCACCTCCGTCCGTATCGCGCTGTTCGGCGGAAACCACACGGGATGCAGGGGGAGCAACGGAATCGAAATACCGACGGTCGATCGCGGGAACGAGAACAAGTGGACGCTCCGCCAAGGCTGCCGTGGACGGTGCGGAGAATTCGGACTGCGCTCCCCAGCAAATTCTAGTCGGTGACGACTACCAAGCCGACATCCCAGACCTATTGTCGGCAGAAGAGAGGAAGAAAGAGGCCGGACATCCCGCTGCTGGGACAGGTGCCAAGATGGTGAGAACATGCTGGCAACCGATGTTTTTGAACACCAGTTTGATGTGGCTGGACTTGACGTCTTCTTTGTGAAAGTACTTGTCACATTTCTATTTGTGTTGGTTCCCACACATTCCTATTTATTTGTCACAGCCGTGCTCACCGCCACGCACCATAAACCCCTGAGCGGAGGGTCTTCAGCAGTAGCTAGTGGCATCAGCTACTTCTGAAATCCGCAGTTCAGGAGATTGGGGTAAGTGGCGTTTTGACGTATTTTCCATGATTTGGCGTCAAGCCTCTTGACCTGCGATCATATTGCCGAATCAAAGATACATGCAAGACAACGTACGATTGCCCTTGTCGTTCATGCGGCGATGTCCTTCTATCAATGTGGGGGAGAACGCAATCCCATGTGTTCCTTCCCTGCACGCCCTCTGCGAGCTCTCTGCTGCGGGGGCATAAAAGCACACCCCAATCGCAAGGTATGTCCAGAGATCCCCTTCTACGAACACCACGCTCAATGTCTTGTGCAGCGACCTCTGCGTTTGTTTTCTCAAGGCGACCCTTGTATCTGTCCATGTTCTCGACTCACTCGCTTTCTTGCACAAGGTTTGGCGGAGTATCCGCAAGTGGGATCCGCAATCCCGTCACATGTTGTCGACGTATCTACACGCGGCGAAGGACGTGGTTAAGGCCAAGCAAGCCTCCCCCGGCGTGGCTGTTCATGTGCGCCTCGGCGATGGCGGCAGCGAAAAAACCGGAGACGTTGAGGCGGGCACGACCAGTGTGGCCAGCAGCTACGCCGTGTGGGCGATAACGGTCGGTCGCCACTCTGCTGGAGTGATTCGAGTTGCGTGCTCAGAAATGGCCCAAACGAAAGTCCCGATACCTGCCATCCAGAGAGTACAGGTACGGCGACGTGTCTCTGGTCGTTTTGCGTTTCACGTGATGATTTGATGCCATACCAGTCTGATGAAAGAAAATTGCTTTCAAGGTCTCCAGTCTCGAGCGCCAGGCGCCCTCGCCTTCAGAGCTGAAAGGAAAGATTGGTGTGTGTGAAGACTGTGCACAGCATACCAAGGGCACGAAGTTGAAAAAGACGTTCCAACTACAATATTAAGTGTTGCGACATGACAGAAAATTCGAACGGTAAACTTCATTCAATTCAACAACCATTTGCGGAACATTTGCTCGATTGACAGTTTATCCCCTTCGACTGACTGCGCTTATATCTCGAACGGGTAGTCTCTGTGTGTTTGTAGACTAAATGTTTTAGTTCGTATTGGTATGAAGTATCTCTTGTCTCTACTTGGAATGGCGACGTCAACACCATTCATTCTTGTCGATCGAGCTTTTTAAAAAAAAACTGTGGTCTGCATACCTATGTCTCAAAATGCTAGCTATATGGTTAAGTGTTCAGGGCAGCCTCCAGTTAGTTTTGGTCTGGTGGGGTATCCGACGGTAGACTTTGCAAAAAACTGTGATGTGCATGTGTATATGGCGTACCACAATCAATGTACGTAGTTTGCGTATGCCTGGCGCGCGGATCACACTGACCAGCTGTTGTTGTACTCCCACAAATCCTTGTCCAACCAGCTGCGCGATTTTTTCCGTGCGTAGATTCGCCCTGGAGAAGGAGATTTTTTAAGATTTAAGCGCTTTTCACGGTGCTGTACCTCGTCCCGCCCTTGGAGTCTCGAGTCGCAGCAGGGGCGTTGTGATCGTAAGATTAGCACGGTCAGGTAGGCGAAGACGACCGAAAAACATGTGTGTACACCGTTTTAGACGGATTTACCGACCACAATGTCCACGTCAATGACTAAAATAATGGTTGGTAAATGGTTGCATGCGTTCGCAGCGATGTAACTCTACTCGCGCTTGGAGGTTCGAGCTTGGACAGGGGCGTTGTAATCGAGAGACTGGCCCGCTCTAGTGGGCGAAGACCAGCGAAAAAATAGGCCTAAACGCGAACCCAGACTGATGCACCGAAATGAACCATCTTGCTTTTAGAGTGCAAGAATGGTTGGACTCTCGCGTCTCAGGGCTCAGGCGAAATTGTAGTTATAATGTCGATGTACGGCAGCGCTCCAGTTCAGAGTTTGGCATCAATAGTGTTGTTAACCTGGGTACGTTTTTGTTTTCACCTTTTTCTGCCTCGGCAGAGCGAAGAACAGGCTCTGGCTGCCTTGGTCAAGGCTAGATGCACCCTCGACGACTTCAAGCCCGCCCTGAATGTCTTCGATCAGGCATCCATGGAGAGCGTAGATCCGTGGAAGCTGTCACAGGTGCGCTGCGCGTCGGTTACAATTGTCTGCAAGATTTCCCCCACATCTGCCTGCGGGCGTGTACTAACGTCCATTTTCTGGACATGGAAAATGGGAACAGGGAACTCGGAATTATTGCCTGATTGGTCAGCCACACAAAATAACTTTCTTGGAAACAAGAAACGCCACACACGTTCCCTGTTTGAGGTAGTTACGCCGCACCATAATTTTAACTCCCGAGGGAGTTAAAATTAGCCAACAGACCGTAGGGAACGTGGAACACGGGCTCTTCGGTGGCGATTCAGGACGTGGTGGGATGTGTGTGATCACTCTCGGGCATGCGGCTGCCACAGGTGCTACATGCTACCGGTTCAAGTCGTATAGGCGTTGCCACCATTGTCAGGTGTCTCGCATGCGAAAAAACGGCGGCGGAGGCGCGTGAAGCCGTTGTATGGGGGAACATAAAGTGTCAAAGAGACGGCAGGACCACAACTCAACAAAGCATGCCTTCCAGGGCACTGCTGTCGAGGGTGCGGATTGCATGGCGAGCACCGCCTTTTCTAGCCGATACGTAGCACATGTGTTTGATGTGTGCTCGTCAACAGGTTCCTTCAAAACCTACACCACCTCCTCCCTCCTCTACCCCGCACTCGTCTTTGTGCGTCCAATGGTTGTATTTGTTGCCTTGGAGTACCTGCGGGCCGCAAGCGCGCGCTGAAACGTTCCGTGTTCCTGGAAATGTGTTGTACGTTAGGACACAACCACACGGAACAGGGAACAGGGAATTCCGAGTTCTCTGTTCCCTGTTCCCTGTCCAGCAAAGGGACGTTAAGACACGCCCTGAATGAACCGATGGAGCAGGGGAATTTCGAAGAACCACAAGGCCTGACGTGTTCAAAAGATTCACCCTACAGCACCCAGTTTGGGTTAACGGACTCCTCGCACATCCGGGTGGTACCTTGATCATTCGATACGTTTGCGTGATTAGGTGAGAACCCTGGAGCAGGCTCTCGAAGAGCATTTCGATCCAAACCCGCGGTCGCACGGCTGGGCACGAGAGGGAATGGACCTTGAACGAGAGGACTTCATTGACCTCGCGAACGTTAGCAAGCAGGTTCCGGGCAAGACTCCCACCCAGGTGCGATGCAAAAAACGCGAATTGGAGCCTTCGAACCCTCGACCAATGGTTGGGGCACAACCCGGTGACTCCGCTTTCTCTGTCCTTATGAATGTTTCCCGTTCTGGGAGGATCGTATGCTGTGGTTTGTTGGCGCTGGACATCAATATCGGCGGTTTTAGTATCCGATGACGAACAACGGCGCTCTCTGTGCAGGTGCTCTCTTTCTTCTACCGGTATCTTGCTCACACGAAACCCCTGACGGACGTCGTCTACGGCAAGGAGGTGAGCATGTCATGTTCGGGTTCCTCCTAGCCAGCACAAGAACGTGGGCTTCCTGATACTATCGCCGATGCACCTATCTTGTAGTAAGCACGTCTCGGCAAGCGTAGACCAACCATACACCTAAGAGTAAATCAAATAAGCGCCGACCCTGGCACCCTTTGCCTGCATTTTCACGGGCAGGCGGCAGAGGCACGGAAACTCGAAGAAGTCCTTCCCCCTGGCGCCTCGGCATTCCCGGAACAAGCAAGCACCGCCAAACCCAAGCCGCCCACCAGCCACGCTACGGTCGGTCCGTACACGAGTGGCCCTGCCATTCACAACAGAAGCATCGTGAGGCCCAACCCTCCACAAAAGCCGCACCCTATTGCACAGGTAGCGCCCGGGTCATCTGCTTCGATGACCACGAGAACCACCGAAGAGAGCAGGGGAGTGAGGCCAGAAGACCTCAAACGATATCTCTCTAACGTCGCCAAAACTGCTCTTGGTGGCCGTGCACCTGCTGTTGCTGCCTACCGAGCACCCGCTAATAGCAATGTTAGCCGTGAATACGAGCGCCAGCGTGCAATCATGCACCAGGGGGCAGCGTCCGGGAACACCTCTGCTGACGTGGAGTTGCTAGAGGTATATTGGACACCCCTTGTGTTTCTGACGATGTTTCCCTTTTTTACACATTCGTCAGTGTCAGTTGCATAGTTTATGTGTTGAGCCAGGCCAGCGACTTCCTGCATTGCCTGGTAACGTCAAGTGCTTGTTGCGCCGAGTAAAGTTCCAATACCACGACCTTGGTCCGTTCCATTCCTGTGGAGCGAGGCGCGCAGTGATGATAGTTTCGACGATCCCGCTTCTGCCGTCCGTTTTTTTTCTCGTCGTTGCTACATTGACAGGTGAGAAAGTATCATGGCACCACACGTGTGGTTGGTAACGCTCAAGGGTCACAGTTAATGGCTGCCCTTGGGTCCACAGCGGCACGTGCAAGGCAGTACGGCCCCGAGGCACGTTCTCAGCAAACTAGTGTGCTGCCTTCAGTCAGGGTGACAGGTACGTTGGAATGATTGCCAGTTTGGGAGGACGGTGGGCGGCGGAGAACAGCTCCCGAAAGAAGCACCTGCCGCCTCAACTTACGCATAGCACCTCGAGTGAATCAACAGCACCAGAATTCCGTTATCGACAATGCAACGTTCACAGATTTCCTCGACTCATTCGCTCGTACCAGTCGTGGTCTCTGATGGGTGTTGGCGCTAGAAGTGCACTGTATACACGCGCGTGATCCGAGAAAATGACCGCCCTCGTCACGGCTTGCAAGTCTTGATCAGTACCGTGTACTTTCTGATCTGGACAGCACAAATCCGTATCGGCCCGCAGAAAGCCCACTGCAAGTGTCATCATCACGGGACCTGCTGATTTGCTGTGATATTTGCCCGAACCGCATGTTTCATCACGTGTCCGCCTACGTGGTGGCCAGATTATGAAAGAAGCACATCGTTCGTGGTGCCATGTATCGTTGTGGCACGTGCAGGCGTACGGTTAACGGCCGTGGCGAGTTTTCCGCCTCCATTGAAACTGTACCATGTCTGCTGCCCGATTTTGATCACCAGCTCCGGCATCTTATGGCTACCAGACGGGGACGGCCGTGGCAAGGCCACCAGGGCATGCACCACAATCCAGTCCTGCCTTCCATAACACAGTGCAGGCTAGGCGCGTGAGGACAAGAGTCGGTGGCGGGGACCTTGGTAGCATCGTTAAAAATGGTGGCTATCCTGCGTACGATGAGCCGTCGGAGGTGGCCATGGATGAAGAGGCCGAGTTCGGCTTCATGGCCCCTTGCTGGGGGCAACTGGAAATGGCGCATGCCTTCATGGACAAGGTGGGAAATATGGCTACTCCATATCATGCGGCCGTCACTTGGCGCTTCCACCTTGATCAACGAGTGAAGTCACTTTTCATGCCAAGTATTTTGCCATGTATGAAAGGCGAAAACACACCGGAGTGTTTCCGTGCCTGCTGTCCTATGCCCTCCAGGATCAGCTTCGGTATATGAGAGGGCTCATCACTACGCACGCCCGCAAGCCGATGACGCGCGACCAGGTGAGCACCTACGTTAAATGTGACGGAGGTACCTTGAGGGTCAGAATGTTGAAAGCGCGTTTACCAGCGATATTTGCAATCCCGTTTGATTCACTTTCGCTTAGTTGTCTTGGCTCGGTCGTTATCCTTGTTGTGACGCCTACGACCGTTGCCCTCATCCTTTTCTGCTACTCGATCGTACTGTCATGACCGATAGCTATTGGAGAGGGCGGAGAGCTGCCTCCAAGAGCGGCCGGAGATCTTCGTGGCCTTCGTCAAGTAAGCATTCTCCAGGTGTCCAGCCAGGAGTTAAATGAGATTTGTTATGAAGGCATCCCTTTGTATATGTTTCAGAATCAACGAGGGGGCTCCCATCGCGGTCAACCCCCCAAACACACCAGGGAATACAACACCTGTTCGAACTGACTTTTAAGGGACAACACCGGGTTTTCCCTGTGTCCGTGCGGCAACTTGGCCAGGGCTTCACGCAGGGTTGACGGTTCATGTGTATATTAAACCTCGGTTTCGAAAGCACGTTTTTTCTTCCCAAGGCTGCCTGCCTCTTTGACCGTGTGCCGATTATCCCGTCTCCCGTTCTCGTCGTTGTTTGTTTCGGGAAATCGTCGCTCATCCTCTGTTTGCAGAATGTTCGATCGAATCAGTCATATCCATGCCGAAGCTCATCTGGTGCCTCTGTACTCTGGCAGAAAGAGATCCTTGTCAGACTCTCCCCCCGAGTCGATTCCGATGTCGAGGATGTCTTACAGCGGACGGGTTCCGCCAACCACAGGCTACATGGACTCGCGATCGCGTGCTCCGTACGTCTCGTACTCTCGGCAACATACCGCAATCCCTACCTTCGCGGTCCCCCCCGGTGCAGCAGTAGATGGAGGCGTCGACCGCCAAGGTAACGGCCACGGCCGAGGGGGTGGGGGCGGCGGCCCTCGTTCGGGACCGGCGCACGACCCATATCCCCGCGTGTCTGCGGAGAGCGTGGATAACCGCCGTCGCTGGGCCGTTCCGACCACCCCAGGCGGCGGTATCGGGGGGTGGCGCCACGGTGCCAGTGACCGGCCCTCGACGTACGTGAGTGGCGATGCAGGACGGCCCCCTCCCCCGTACTCGTCTGGCCGGACTGGGAGGCCAGTGATGATGTACCGCGAGGAGGGCGGGCAACAGGGTTTCGATGTCGGACGAGAGCAGATGAGAGCATGGCCGCAGCAGCATCACCAGCCCCACCCTTGGCGGGCTGCTGGTTCACCACCCGAGGGACGGGCGCCTAGACCCAGGATGTCGACGTGGGTGAGGAATGGCAGGTAGTGGAACGAGAGTGCGTGAGGGCTGTCTGTTGTGAAGGCTCGCTGGCGTCTTTCCTTGACATAAAAGTCTATATTTCCAATCGTTCGTGTAGACCACCCAGGAAGGTGAATCTCTGTTGCTGATTTTGTCTTACGTTTTGCGCCCCAGATGCTCGGGTCGGTTGTATGCAAAGAACATCTTCCGTCGAAAAAGGTCGCCTCTAACATTGTGGCCGTTGGCCTGCAATTCACACTTTTTGTATCTTGGTGATGCGAGGAGCCCTCGAGTGATTTCTGTGACCTGAAGTGGCGTGACGTCACTTGACAAACTTTTTGCAGTCGTGTGTGTGTCCGGCTTCCACTCGCATGTTGTGTGTGTCGTCGTGGGTTGTGTTCCCGCGTGTTGCGTTGGGTTTTCTATGATTCTTGATGTTTTGGGGCCCGTTTTCAGTTGTGAGGTTTCTGATGTGTTTGTTTCTTGGCACAAGCCTTGCTTGTCAAGGGGCGTGGGTGGTGTTCACTCAATGGCTGG